ATATTATACAATACATATATACATTTTTAATATGAATCATCGTTGCAGTTCGTTTCATCGAAATTATAAAGATAATTAAATTTCGGACAGACGGACAAATAAAAAATGATTCGTTTTTACATTTATCATCGAAGAGTGGGCGCATATTCATTTCATTACAACGTTTGAAACCCGGCAAAGTTTAGCCTCAGACAATTAATGTCGGTTCTAAGCATCTTCTTCTCTCTGTCTGTGCAAACGTCAAGATATCAATTTTAAAAGAAAACAATAAAGCTCTTGTACATACGCAGGTTGGTGACGACAATGTATTAACATAAATCGACCAAAGGAGACTCGTGCAGTCAACTCGTTTCTCTATATGATTTAATCGTCGCTTGTAAATGATATGTAAAATAAGTTTATTCGCATATATCCCATTAATCAATATGTCTCCGATCTATCATATATGTTACAACAACGTTAAGAGATCTATAGAATTTCTGGATTGTAGCAAACTTCAAACGAAACATAGCAAAAATTTTATGACATTCCGAGCGCATTAGTTTACAATTTAATTTACTTAGTTTTGAAGCTAAACAACTATTTAACCGCCATTAAGCTCATTACTTTTTAAAATGTATGCTGAATTATTTTACCCAAAATGAATTACAATATGGCTTCAAATTTTATGGCGAGAAGAAAATCAAGCTGGTTTTTCAAGTTGGGGACTTGATCACAACCAATCTATAATATCGAATTTTTCATTTCTTTTGATCAAAAATCTTTAATCGAATTCCAAAATTGCTTATACCCTTCCTTACCGGATATATTGTGAATTGCTTTTGTACTCATGTACGCATAATTTGTTAATGCACTTACATGCGTTAAACATGAAAGTTTCTCTATCGTGTTTTTTATGAAGAAGTGATGAAAACTATTTGAGTATTAATGCTCTTGATGACATGTTTCAAAAGAAAAAAGAGTGAAAAAATAAATGAAAAATACTAAAGAGCAATAATTCTGAAAACATACCGCACATATGCTCTGTAACATAAAATTGGACTTAAATATAAATGTTGCATTCAGATGTATGTGCGCGTTTCTTATTGATTGTTGTGCTATCCGCAGCGGATCATTAGGGACCGGATCGTTAAGTACGCAACATGAGATTTAGCCACATACATTCGTATAGTAACCGTTTACTGATGGTCGTTGAAACGTGCCCAAGAAGGTCGAACCATATTACTATGTACATCTAGTTATATATGTAATCACGAAGATGACCTGCATCATTTTCAATCTAACCAGTTTCCTTCTGGCGTTTCAGTCAACGATTTAATCAATTAGTTATATATATATATATATTGAAATTCATAGATACTCGATCCTGATGCAATCTGAAAAACTTGATACTTAAAGAGATGTTCGACAATATTCGATATGGTCAAAAACATGGTAATCGGTCTAAAATCATCAGCATTATTGACTAATCTCCAAATACATGTAAAAACATCTTCCTCTTCTCACTTTTTATCACACTATTTCGAAGACTGCAGTAAATTGTCCAGTTTTTAGTAATAGAATTCGATCAAAATATGGAGAAAGCCACATCGTTTATGAACCACCCAAAACGAATGTCCCTAAAATTCGTCCACGCATTGCATTGCTGTTCAGGGAGAAAAATATTATCCACTTCCTATTAAAATATTGTTTTATGGATATTGTCAAAAATTCAGAAGAAACGAACGGCAATTGCTATGCCACCTCCCATTTCGACATATTTATTTTCAAAAACCGCGCGTTTAAACTTTTAAGTTAGGTACGCATCCATTTCAAGAAATAAAATTTTTCGATTTTCCATTTAAAATATTATCGTACCGATAATTATCTTTTTATGCAAATTTTCAATTACTTAATCGATCATTTAAACTAATTTTCTGAGAAATGGACCGGTTATCCGTTAACAGCTTCAGTTTCTACTTAGAAATTAAAAGTTTTTTTTTTCTAAGAAAACAATACAACCAAGACAATGGACCTCATGAAAAAAAAAGTCTTGTCATGCTTCCAAGCAAGAATGAATTCTATGCCATCCAAAAAAACATAAAAAGCTTTTGCTGAAAAATTTCAATTGACATAATATCCATAATAATATTCCCGGGTCAATAAGATAGACAAGTGGAAGCTTTGATTTAAAAAGAACTTTGGATGACGTGCAATTCTATTTCTACAAATTAATTATTTGATTCTTTTTTTGACGACAGTGTTTGCGCGTAACAGTCAATAGCGGTTGTGACCACAACTGCTAGCCTTTAAAAAAAGCTGGAAGTAAAATTAATAAAGAATTCCATAAAACGGCAATTACTTTCTTTTTATTATATTTATAATTACAGCCCCCGTTTTTCTGCTTGTATGTACGGAATCCCACAGATGCGCGCATAATTTAAAAAACGTATTACAAGTTTAATGTTAATTTAAAGGAACGTTATTGTCTGTCGCTGATAAATTATTTTTGAAATTTTTCCAAATTCGTTCAGAGTTGAAGCTTGAGTAGTAATTGTTTCTTTCCACGCGTTTCACGCTTTTGAATATATTTTACCTGTTTAGTAGTGTGTGTTGCTATCAACGAAACATGCAACCCTGCAGAATATATTTGGCCACAATCAGCTGATTGTAGTCATTTTCTTTTATTTTTTTGATATTTTGTTAAACTTCTTGCTTTGTTCCTTAATATAATTATAAAAATACTTGTAAAATGTCCAACTCTAACGCTCCCGGTTCACAAGCTTTGAACAAATTAAAATCTCGAGATATTGTCACAGATCAATTTAAAAAACCATTGCCAAAACCATTGGAATGTTCACTAGTGGCAAGGAAAAAACCAAAATTGAAAATTCTTACCGAAGACAAATATATTGAAGAAATGGCAAAAATTATAGAAAGAGATTTTTTTCCGGATTTGGAACGTTTAAGAGCACAAAATAAATATTTGGATGCGATGGAACGTAACGATTTTGCACAAATGGAAGCTATACGTGCAAAATATAGTGGTAAACAGCCATTAATACGATCAAGACGTAAGGATATTGTGAAATATTAAAAGTCAGTAATTAACATAATTTTTCTCATCTTTAGAAAGCACACCCGCTACCTTTGAAACTCCAGCTAGCTTATCGCAACAGACTCCTGCAAGCGCTGCAAATCTCTCTATTCCTTCTGCTAACGATACTCTCAAAAATTCAAAATCGAACAATAAGGAAGAGACAGTAACACAATTTGATAAGCATTCATTAGATTCTTTTTTACAAGCTTATACTAGCGAAGATAATTACAGTTTTGAGGAAATAATGGAGATTGCCGATCAAAAGCTGAAGCAAAAGTTTGCTATCTTATATAATGAGGAAAAAATATCTGCTGAGAAATTGGCAAAAGTTCTAATGTTGCCTTCAATAGAAGATCAATTCGAAGAGGATCGAAGTACGCTCATGCGAAAAATTGACACCTGGGCTTATAAAAATAAAAATTCAATTATGTATATCCCCGATGGAGTTGAGCTAACAAAAGAAGAACGAATAGACATGGCCAGTCGAAAACAAATTGTCCAACATCAGGCGACAAGGTTAAACGAAAATCCTTTCCGCGATAGCAGCAACGATAGCAACGATATTCTCAAAAATTCGGCACGAATATTAACTAATATTATTGACAATGAAGACGGCGTTAAAGGCGATTGTTTAAATTCTCTTACAGTTAAAGGTTTTGACTTGGTTCAAACGCCATCGCCTAGGCCTGGCGAAGCTTTCTCTCCTTTAATGACTTGGGGCGAAATTGAAGGTACACCTTTCCGTTTGGACGGTTCAGATACGCCAGTACGCTCTAATGCAGGGCCATCGTTTAAAATCAATGAGACGTCACGACGAGAGAATATCGCCTTAGCTTTAGCTGAAAAAATTGGCGAGAAAATGAGGGCGCAAAAACAAAAAGCCATGGACACGGCTCGGCGTAATATTGCATCGCCATTTATACGATCTAATATCGAACGGCTCGCTTCCATGTCGCCGGCCGCACGTCGTTTAGCCACAACTAAACTGGGTTTGCGAACGCCTGTTGTATCGACGCCCTCACCTTTAATAACCTCGCAGAAAAGATGCAGATCAACAAACACTTCTGGTGCAGGCCAAAAACTCCCCACTTCGTTAGTCGCGCCATTGTTATCACCATCTACCAGCACTGTTCAGAAAGAAATAAATACCGAAAAATCCACCTTAACCGATGATTTACTACAAATACCTACGAAACGTTTGCGGGCTGCAGATTTTTTCTGATGATTTTTATTTATACGATTTATCGATTTTCATATTCATATAAAGATGCACTATTAAATATAGAGATTTCATGAATAGAGATAGTGGAACGTTACTACTTTAAAATGGAATTATAGAGCGTACGCATTATTTTATCTAAGCACCGTTTACAATGTCTATTTTAATATTAATTTTATTATTATTATTTTTCTCTTTTTTTTTTTTTTGTATATTAGTCCCAATAATCAACATGATCTCCGGATTTAAAATTTTGTGTTTGGAGAATTTGTAGGAATTTCGCGACAGTTTGATCTGTCGTTAACATTGTTTGATCTGCACGCTGCTTTGCAAAAGCATCGCGTAGCTCATCGTTCATAGTTTCATTTTGGACTTGAACTGTCATAGCTGTATCAATAGCACCCGGAGCATAATTCAAAACCAAAGTATCATTCAGCTCTTCCATGGCTAAAACTTTAAAATACATTTCCCGTGCGGCTTTACCCGAACAGTAGAAGCTCATGGACTTAAATGGCTCAACACCGCATTTCGAACTTAAATTCACTACCAATTTAGAAGTTTTGGAAAACATTTTAAAGAATTCAACATTTAAAGCAATCGCACTAAATATGTTGGTATGATAATAGTCGGTCCAAGCGATCGTATCACCAACTTCTCGAGCTCGTTTCGATACATCGCCAACTGTACCGGCATTGTGCACGATAAATGCTCTCTCGAAATTCGTTATAGTTGCGTTAGCCTTTCGTATCGAGTCATTGAGTAATTCCTTAAAATCTTCACATGTAGCTTTAGATAAATCGATCGCATAAGTCTGCACCAGTATATCGGCTTTGACAGAGTCTTCTATACTTTTCTTTGTGACATTTAAATCGTGTTCGTTACGGGCTAGCAACACGACTACGGAGCCTGCATCCAATTTTTTTGCTATTTCAATGGCCATTGTCCGGCCAATGCCACGTGATGCTCCAGTAATTAAAAAGTAGGTTTTTTTATTTAACTCCAACACCATTATTTCTCAATATCTAGGAAATCTTTTTTTTTTTTTTTCTTTCAAACAACTTATTGAACCTGTTGCTGTTGTTTGCTTTATATGCAAGAAAGACTTTTTTTCAATTGATATTTAAGAACCGTTAAGGGCAACCTGGAAAAGCATTAAGAGTTTTATAAATATTAATTAATTATAATAATTTTTTTACACGTCCGCGAAATCGCACATTAAAACTAAATTTATAAAATTTCATCTATATCTTTCATTATATATTTAAAAAAAATTGTACTCTTAGAAATTCTCAGAAAAGTTCAATGGGGCATTCACATGAGAACGTACGGGAAAATAAATTTTACTCTCAGAAGTGGGATTTTATTCTCCAAAAAAAAATTTACTATTCATGGAAACGAGTTACAAGGTATTTAAGCTTAAATGCAGGCACAACAATGACACACGCACACATATATATGTACAACCATTTAACTCTCTTTGTATTTTTCTCATGTGCGCTCAACATTTTATGACGCATCGCTACGAAAGATGAGATTAATAATAATTTTTGTATTGTTTGTAACATTGGTTGCAACCAGTTATATGTATATCTACGAGACCTATGCGTAGCCTTCATAAGCGTGAAATTCGGTTAGCTGTGACGTTCGTTCAACTAATTTCGCACAAAACGTACAATGAAAAGTGAAACAGGATTGCTGTACATAATCAAAATAGTATTTGAAATCAAACAAAGAGTTATTTAATAAGGTCAAGTTTGCATCGGTCGGAAGTACTTGTAACCACCAAGCGTATCTCAAAGTTAATACATAAAAAGAGTTGGCCGTGGCGATAGAAACGATTCGCGAAGAGTATCCTTAAACATGTTGGGTGGCAGCGCTGGTTTGGAGGACGTAAGATGATATAGAAAAACTGTTTTCCTACTTGTTCATAAATATATTTTGAATTTTATATTGTCTCACAACATAATTATACAGTTAGAGGCCAAAGCCGGGACGCTCGTTTATCACATAAGTTTAATATCAGCACTTTCCAAAAGGGTAAAAAAAAAAAAATTAAAAATAAACAGTTAAGAAATTTATTACACACATATGTTATTTTGGCTTATCCTTAAAAGGTATACGATAGAGATGCCACATCTTTTTATCAAAGATATATCAATAGGAAAGGTCTACGAATAAGCTTTCAGGTATTCTTAAAAATCGTAACAAACGTCATTGAAGACGATTTTTAAGGTTTAACATGAGATTTAAGACTTTTGGACACTTATACGAATTGAGCCATGTTTTTGTAGTAGGGTACGATATTTCATAGTAGATCACCCGTAGATTGCCAGTCTATTTATCTCTTAAGGAAAGCGAAAAAAACCTATTTCTTGTTAAAGCTTGCACTGCACAGCACTGCCCTTTTTCTTTTTTTTTAATTGTGTACTCACTTCATATTCTTAACAGAGTGGAAAGTTTAGGAACTTGAAACGTTATGTTTGAAAACAAGGGAAGATCATTCATATTTCTAAGATTTCAAACAATGACTAAATGCAGGTATTCAGATTTCCATAAAGTCGGGAATATGTCTTTAAAAGGAAAAGAAATATTTCCCCACCAAAACGGCTGCATTGCTTAAGAATCCACCAATACGAATACAATTATTCCTTTTTTGTCTCTGGTAAATATTCTACGTCATCGCGGAGGAGCACTCCCATAGTGACTACAGGTTACTAGATCGAGACGCTTTATTTTCGTTTTTTCCGACTATTTGAGAAAATTTGTTTTTTTATTTCATTATTTTTAGCCTTACTTTTAACCTGTTAAAGCCGATCATTTAATCAAGGGACATTGCAAATTTCTATCAAATTCTCAAATTATTAATATTTCATTGACATTTATAGTTGCAGGCTTTATAGTTGCAGTAAATAATTGGCCGTGCAGCGGGAAAGTTCAAAGTATCGTTTACCATAGTAAGACGAGCAGAAATAGGGCCGGTAAAATGGACACATATGTAAGCTTAATTTCGGAAAACAAATTTCTATTCGCGAATATATTTGAATTCTTTTTTAGTCATTTTGTTGGTTATCGTCTTTTAGGCGTAGAGGTCGCAAGTTTCTTACTTTCTTCGTTTGTAGAAAACGATTATACGATAGTTTGAGGAATATTTCTCAGCAGAGTACGTTTTTTTCCATATTTTTTTTTTCTACATTTCATAATGTTCCGTTTTCATTAAGGCTCAAGAGCTGAAAACGACCGGGACCAACATTGCTTGATTGTAAAGGAGATATTTCAGATAATCAACGTAACGTAAAAACTAACTGCATGAAATTTGAACCATATGTGTATATTTTTTGGCCCTTTTTCATATAAGGGTTCTGATGAAAAGTGAGTAGATGTTTCGGGCTCCCTCTAAATGCTTTCCCGAAATGTATACCTTTACATGGAAATAATGTACAATTTTTGGTATATTGTTACGAAAATGAATGAACGATTGCATTTGACTGTAGGTATTGAGTGGTCGTTCCTGCCCAACTATAATATTTTTACTGCTTATATTCAATGGGTTCAGCGGCAGGATGCATCTGATGGGGTATATAAAGCCGTTTCATTATAATGCATACATGAAAGTTTTTTTTTTCTTTTCTTATGAATTAAAATATAAAAATTTACATCATTTTCTATAGATGAGAAAATTTTTCGATAGAAATCTATCCATACAGCCAGCCTATCGCTAGAAACCTTGAATTATTTTTAAATAATTGTATTTGATCAGCTTAGCAACACGGGAGAGCCTCTTTGTCATGATGATAATACGAATTGTCAATTGAAAGTTTAATGGTATTAGAAAAATTCTCAAATTGATGACTGTACCTTTTTATACGTTTTCGCCGCGTATTTGTCTATGTATTTCATCATAGTTGGCGCTCTCTATCTATTTGGGTCAAGAAATTATCAGAAAGAAATTCAATTAATTACCAGAGTACATTAACTTTTTATACCCTACACCACTTGTGGTATAACGTATATTAAGTTTACCAAGCCGTATGTAACACCTATATGTATGTGTATTTCATCAGAGTGTGCCTTTGCTATATCTATTTGGGTTAAGAAATTATCAGAATAAAATGCAATTAATTACCAAGGTGTATTAACTTATTATATCCCCATACAAACGCTGGTGATATAGGGTGTATTAAGTTTGTGCGGACGTATGTAACACCTAGAAGGACTTGATCGGGCTTCACATTTTAAATCTTAAACGCATAGCAATGGAAATCTTCATCGTATGTTTGAAAACTCATACCTCCATATGTAGCAACCTCTGCATAGTGTTAAACGCATATCGTTGCCAACTTAATTTTATTTTTCATTTCTTTCATTTACATTCTTTTGTCAAATAAATTTTATAATAAATTAAAACTGGAATGTAACCAATTGGCAACAATATGCATTTAAGGATTAAACTTGTCTATCCCTCGGTCCCTCGTCACTGTGCTCTTTTCTCTTGACCTACAGGTCGCCATTTTCGATTTATTCCCCATATTAGGGTTCTATTAAAAAGAGTCAGAATAAGAGAGATTTGATATAGAAGGACTATCCTATATTATAATGAATCAAAGTTTAATTCTTTTTTCAAATCTTTTACAAGGTGCAGAAAACAGCCTCAAAAATTCCATAAAGTATACAACTTCTTGGCTAGTTTCAAATTTGGAATGCATCTAAGCATCACTGTCTTTCTGCGCAATTGTGTAGTATTAAGATATCGTCTACAGATTGGCAAAAGAATTTGTAATTGATCTAAGCTTTTTAAAGGACACGCCTACAACGTCCACATGCTGCTACGGCAAAAAATTTTATTTTGAAAATAGAAGAAATCAACTGCGCCCACTTCATATTATAGGGCATGAGAATTTTGTTCTTTTATTTCTTTTGTCTTTTTTTTCGGATAAACGGTAATGGGCATGGAAGACTCGATTCCGACCGAATTTAATTTTCTTACATGTTTAATAAGATTTAGGCAGAATGCAGATTTATCGCTGATATATATTGTCATACTTTCTATTTGGTAAAAATTTAAATGTTTTATAAGAATATTTTGACGACTTCACGAGCATTTAGATAAACATGAAGAGGCGTGAGCATTCCGCATAAAGCATAGGTTACCTAAAGTCAATTGTTTACCGGCAGTTGGTATTTTAAACCATTTTCGGATAGGATGGAGGTGGCATAGAAAAGCATTATATCGTTCATACTAAAGATCAGGGCTATATGGAAGGAATGTCAATTAAATGAGGATTTTCGGAACTACAAGAAGGGCGCCCTCTGCGGACGCATTTTTTATTCACTTCCTTATACAGCATAGCAGATCATTTGTTACGTCGCTTAATAGTTCATCTTTGATCGCTGCAGGACAAGATCAGTCTTACTCTATTTTCTTCTCGTAAAGCATTTATGAAATATTTTGTTTAGACAGATCTCAAATAATTTTGTTCAAATTTGTAGTTAAATTGATTATATGTATGTGCGTGTATAAGTGTATTAATAAAAGATTAATTGAAATTAATCAACAGATTTTTTTTATTATCACTTTTTTTCCATAACACACGTTACCCTATCATCTCCCTTCTGCGCTGAATACGCTAAGTAAAATAAATAATGTAGGAAATGTTTCTGAGCTTACTTGCAGGCAAAGCGGACGTTAACATATTTAGTGCCGTGGCATAATAGCAACTGATATAACGTTTTGGGGAAATCTATTCTCACATATAAAGAAAATCATCAATTTTTGTAAATAAAAATTCAACCAATCCAAGGACTAAAGAGAAAACGTCACATTTAGAAAGTAAAGTGAAAAGTGAAAGAATGAGTTTAAAGAAAATGGATTTAAATAAATGTTGCTTTTTTGTGTTGAGTGGATTAATGAATCCGTTAAGCAAACCGTTGGCATTGGAAATGTGTCGCCGTTTCAAATCGGGCTCTATAGCGATACTTATCGAAGCTAACGATGAAAATTTACAAGAAATCCGTAAGGAGATTGAATATTTTAGAAACGATATCACTGTAATTTGCTGCAACTGTAACGATTGGGTAGGAGCCAATCGAAAGCTATTTGGTCGAATTCTAGCCAACACACTCGATCGTCGAAAATTGGTAGAGCAATTTGAGTTGGCTTACATATTGCATAATGACGGTATGATAGCAACTGAAGAATTGATGGAACCTCAAGACGTGTCGGCTTGGTTAAGCTATGTGAAACGTCATCTGGATGCTGTTGTTGCGCTAAATGAAGAATTTCTAAAGAGTCCTCAATTGAATAAAGTGCCCAAGCTTGTTGTTAATATTACATCGAGCGTGCATATCCAACCGTTGATCTACAATTCGTTATATTGCTCGTGCCGTAAAGCACGTGATATGTATTTTCGTTCATTGGCTTGTGAAGAGTCCCGCAACGATATTGCGGTTTTAAATTATTCGCCTGGAATTCTTGCCTCGCATAAGTTGGAAGAATGCGATCTAAATAACAATACTTTCAATTTATCGCAATTGATAGCCGAAGAAAAACATATTAAGGGTCCGCGTGTTCATCCAATGAAAACGACTCAAAAATTGTTAAACATTTTGGAGGAAATTTCTTTCATTTCCGGCCATGATGTCGACTATTACGATACCTATGTTTTATGAATAGTGCTGTATGAATATTATCGAATACTGGGCGAATGGCAAATATTTCTTCGTCAAGTAGTAGATAATATTGAGACGAACAATTGCTTCAACATTGTAGACCATGGCTATGTGTTTGGATTAAGCGATGACAATAATTTGATTGAAAATGATCTAATAATTGATTTAAATAAATTGTTGATGATCTTGACCTTACTGCTGGACGACGGGTGTGATGTAAATGAGAATGAAACTGCAAAAAAAAAACAACGTTTGTTTTATTTAAATTTTATTAGAAATAGTCGAGACCTTGTCCCCCCTTAACTCCCTGCCCAAAAATTTTCCACTTACCAAGAGCACTTTCCTATTTCACTTTTAGCATAACGAAGCCAAGCATCATCGGTATTTAAAACGAGTAGAGAGCAGACTGACTGTAAATCGTTTAAGGCAAACATGTCATTAAAAAATATATTCTATCCTACCTTAAATGTATATATTCTTGTATGGCGTGCAATTTCGAGGGTTGAGTGTTGACTTAACACTCGTATCAAATGTGAAGCGCTTGGGATGCGAAGATAGACGCTTGCTCATATATAAGGTAAATATAGGTGCTCCTTCAAGCAGAACGTTACTCTTTTTTCGAAGGTTTTCGAAGTTCGTACTATTGTGCATTGATTGTACTTTCGATTCCTTCGTAACACTTTTTAACGAGTGGGGGAAGCGCAAGCACGCACATGTTAGGAGTAGGGTGCTTGACTAAGAATAAAATGTCAATTTTTATGCGTATTTTCTTTTCATCGATAAGCTTGTCTTCACTTTACTATATCATTAGATAATGCGGTAGTTTTTCAAGGTCGTGTTTGAAAACGGATGAAGTTTACTCATCATGCGAGGCTTCTTTTAATTTTGCTTAATATGCTTGTATCAAGAGGAAGTTAGTGTCGAAGGTCTGCCGCTAATTATATTATTAAAGAAAATAATCTTTGCAATTAGTAGCCATAGTGAACAGAACAGCAAACAGGCTTCAACTTACAAATCTACAAATATCCGCCTCCATGAACGCAATATTAAGTAATATTTATTTATATGAAAGATTGAATACAAGCGTATTTGTCAACTACTACTACTCTTGTAAGTCGCACGTTTATCTCAAAATTGATATTAAGGGTGTGTTTATACGTGGACTACGCTAGTTTTTCAACTTGATCTCGTCATTTCTACCAAACGCGCTGAGGCCATCTCGTATTCTACGGCATTAATTCTAAAAATAATTGCCATTTGAGAATTTAAATTCCTTTTACTTAGCTAGTTCTTTAAATTCTTCAAGTTGGACCGGGTAGCATGGCCGAAATAATTAAAAATCTCAGTCTTGAATCTATAATGGCATGACAAATTTATTGTACGCCCGTGCTACTATAATCTAGGGACGATAAAAGTGGGCTTTAATGGCATCGTCGTTACCCC